CAGACAGAGTCTGGCTCAGATGCTGGCAGTTCTCGCTGCAGTCTACCGGTAGCGTCTCCTTTCAGGCAGGATAGACGAATGTCACCGAGCAGTGACTAGTTTGTGGTAAAAGGCTTGCACCCATTTGCCACAGCAGATGCCCCGATTCTCTGTAGGTGAATGATAATAATTGTAGGCAGGGACATTACTGGGTATTCTTGTGTAATTGCTACAGAATAATTTATGTTATACTTTGTTATTGCTACAGAAGAATATTTATTTTATTATTTTACATTTACATTTTTTTTCCCCGGGGACCCTGTGACACCCCATTGAAGAGCCGTAGGCTGTGGATCTCTTGTTACTCCTAAATTTCTATCTTGTTCAAAGAGAAGATATAAAACAAAGTTCTAAGCTAATCGAACTTAGTGTTCTCCTTTTTTAAAAAAGAATCGAATCGTTAAACAGAATCGAAAATGGAATCGGAATCGTGAAAATCTTATCAATACCCATCCGTAGGTGAGAGTGTTGGCCAGTTGTAAAAGATTGCAAAATGAGGCGGCTGATGCAACAGTCATGGTCTACTGTTGCAGTCCTCCTTATCAGTAACTGCACTTGGCATGCTTGATATAGACAACGCCACGCTGATTATATGATCTTTATACAATACTGTTGCACAGCTTCAGCATTTCTCTAGTTACTCTCACCTGCTGTTAGAAGCTAGTAAAGACCTGTGATTTCACTTGTATGATCGACTGTGTGTCTCTCGCAGGTATTCTCAATGATTCTGTATAGTGTGCTCATTACTGCATGCTGGGCTGCCTGCAGTGAGCGTGTTTACAGCTCATAACCAGTTTGCCATGAGTGGCCCGAGCACACCACAGGGAGGAGAGAGCTGCACACATGTGGTCATTTGAGTCTCACAGTAGCCTGTGCTCAATAGTGTTGGGCCTGTGCAGTTCATTTTCCACCATTACAGCATCATTGTCTCCAATTAAAGCAGCTAATTGGTGACAAATCCTGAGCTTTTGTCAATCTAATTGTCTCCAGATGACAAATGTTGCTGTTTGTGCAAGTTTGGAGCGTAATGACTGCATAAAAGGCAGACTTGTGCATAAGGTGTTTGTGCATACTGCCGTTTGAATAATGGCACAGCACAGGAAGTCGTTTGTTCAATGGGCAGGTAGTGCTGAGTTGCACTGCTCAATCTGGACTTGCAGCCACACAGCTGCTTGCAGATGTTTACTCCAGTGAAAAGCAGCCTGGCCTTGTCTCTGTGAGGAAACTGATGTCATTTCATTGTTGATGCGCTTTTAAGAGCACGTCTCTAACAGGAAGTTATGTGTTTACTCTTGAGTTTAGCCATGAGCCAGTGGCTTCAAGACAAAAGAACCAAATCCTAAAGTGGATATTACGGTGGATTTTAAATCAAGTGATTTTAAACTGATCACTTGATTATTATTATTATTATTTTTAATCAAATGATGAAGATGTTAATTGAAGGGTCAGACTTTATTAATTCCGAACTTTATAAATAATCCCCCTTTTTCATTTGTTGAAAGTGACAGCACCTGTGGACATCATCACATGCTTCCTTCTTTGAGGTTTGCTGCTCACTTTTGGTCTCAGTAAGTGAAAAGCATGCTGGGC